TAAAACTTCAACAAAAAGTATTATTTTTTAAAACTTAATGTATAAAAAGAGTTATTTCATAATATATTCCCTAAATATCTTTGCACTGCTTGATAAACTGTTTTATTGACCTACCTAGTCAATAAATGACAATGTCAAGTAATTAATATATATTAATATATCATGGGGCATGATATGACCATTAATTTTTTTTATAATTAAAGTGAAAGAAAATTAAATTGTTACCCATAACTTTATGTAGAAAAGATATATTATTTTATTTTGACATATCTTTTTTTAAATGTAATTGTTAAACTATTTGCATTCATGAACACATGGAATACATGTGCATGTTTCTTATATTATGCAATCATAGAATAATTCTTGAAAATAATTTTTATTTTTTAATTATCTTAGCAATCAGGAATTCTGAAACACTAAAAGAAAATATGAAAGTGGTTTCCAGGAAAGGAAAAAAAAACAAAAGGAGAAACTAGAAACAGAAATATCTGCCTTAGAAAAAGTTCCCAAGCTATCCACATTTTTCTCATTTACATTTTGTAAGGAAACAGAGGAGCAGAACAACCCAACCAGCCCTTTCAAGGACAAAGCTTCTACTCTGAGTGATTCTCAACCCACTGTAACAACTAAAAATTTTAGCACAAGTGCAGCTTCATCTCCTTATTATTTCCAAAAAGAGAGAGCATGTCAGATTGAAAATCTCACTATTAATAATGACGAGGAAGATGATCTCTCGTCTGATCCAGCATTATGGCCAGTGGATAGAAAAATAATAATAGAATTTTGGATCCACAAAAGTATGGTTCCATAACAAAATATAGCAGAGCAAGATTTTTCAGCATCAAAGGGTGGTATGCATTCATCAGATGTTCAGATATGCTATTCATCGACCTTTTATAAGATTAAACTACAATACGACAAAACACAAAAAGAGATTGGTTGATCTATTTTCCTTTTTTCTGGAAAAATTTTCTGCTTTTTTTTTTTGCATTCTTTTTAAAGATTCTGGTGACTTTTATAAAAGAATTCTGCAATTGGTTCCATGGCTTTAAAGCTATACAAAACCATGAAAAAAGTAAAGCCCATATTTATTCTGTGCACTGCTGAATGGGACAATACTAATAGCATAGAAACTGTGGATTCAAGGTGAAACAATAATTTAGAAAACGAAATATGAGGTATTATGTCAAGTTTTTGAATGTCTAAAATTCTTATGTGGAAGTAGATTAGCACTTAGAGGGGATAGAGAGGAGATTGAAGGTTTCTACAATGGCAACTTTTTAGCTGCATTAGAATTTGCAGCTAAATTTGATCCATTCTTGACCAAGCACCTTGAAATGCGTAGAAATAAAGGTCGGGGAGTTACTTTGTATTTATCCTCAACAGTTTATGTAGAAACTATTGTTTTGATGGCTCAGAAAATTTATAAGACAATTGCTGATGAAATATGCAATGCTAAATACTTTTCCATTATTGTAGAATCCTCCACCGATGTCTCACACTCATATCAGTTAGCTATAATATTGCGATACATGGATCAGGTAGATGATACACAGGAGCATTTTGTCGGTTATAATTCTTCAAGTGAGTATACAGGAAACTTAATGGCTGAACTTGTCATAGAAAAATTAGATAAGATGGGAATCCACATTCAAAATGTACGTGGACAATCATATGTTAATGCAGCAAATATGTCCGGTAAATACAATGGCCTCCAAGTGCATCTCAAGAACATAAACCAATATATTGATTACATCCCTTGTGCAGCACATTCATTAAATCTAGTCTGTGTGAATTCAGTGGAAAGTTGTGAATGTGCATAGAATTTTTTAATTTTCTTCAAACTCTGTACAAGTTTTATTGGCAAAGCATTTGTGATTGCTTAAAAAGCAATGATGGGAGGCCAGTTTCTCTTAAGAACCTTAGTGGAACAAGATGGTCAGCCAGATCAGTTTCAATGAAAATTCTGTATGAAAACTATGACAGAATTTATACCAACACTGAAGATTTATCTATAAATATTGATGCAAGGCAAACAGTAAAAAATGACACTACTGCTTTGATGAATAAAATGAAAACGTTAGATACTGCTCTTATGACAGTGTTTTAATATAAAATTCTTGAAAGATTTGATGCTACAAGTGCTAAGCTTCAAGAAAAGAGCCTTGATCTGTCTACTGCTCTAAAGCTTATCAGTTCGCTGAAGGAATATGTAAATTCACTATGTGAAGAATTGATAGAATCAAAATTCAAGCTCATCAGTTTATAAAAATAGTAGAAAAACAGTTTAGGAATAAGATTTCTAGAAAGAAAAAATAAAGCTGGCAAATGATGAGACTTCTAAAGGTGAAATTAGTTTGTCTAGAACTCAGAAGGTTTGTGAAGAAAATTTTATTCCTGGTAATTGACAAGTAACAAATGGGTTTAGAAAATCAACTTGCTCCATATAAAGGAACAGAAATAAGTTTAGTTTTCTATCTAATTTAAAAAATATAAATGAGACTGAAATTTTTGCTGCAGCTAAAAGATTGGGAGACATATACTCTCCACATCTATACAGCTCTTTTCCAAAAGAAATGGTACAATTTGCAAACTTTTTTGATCGTGAAACACCATCCGCCCAACAATGCATCCAAGCAATCAGAAAAAAACAAACTCGAATCTGTTTTTCTTAATGTTGACATGGCATTAAGAATATATTTGTTCCTACCTACCAGGAATTGTAGTGCAGAGAGAGCTTTTTCCAAGATAGCTAGAGTAAAAAATTAATTGCGTGCTTTGATGTTAAATGAATGCTTAAACGCCCTTTCCTTACTCACAATAGAAAGGACATTGCTTAGGTAATAGATTATGAAGATGTAATTAGAGATTTTGCTTCCATCAAAGCAAGGAAAAAACTATTTTAGGGTAATGTTTGGCATGCTTCTGGAATGTTGTACAATAACTATATTGTTTTTTATGTACCAAATTCATTCTTACTTGTCATATTGTACAAGTAAATAATTATTTTTATAATTGTTTAATTTTGATATATCATCCTTAAAAGTTAGATGCATCATATTATAATTTACTTTGAATAATTAGCTCATATTCTGTAATTAACTTAATATGCATTAATTATAATTAACTACAAATTTGCTTGTACCTTATTCAAGGGGCCTCAAAAAAAAAAAGAGTGCCAGGGCCTCAAACTACCTTAATACGGGCTCGGTCAAGAGACACCAAAAGGCTCCAGGGAAGAAACAATCAAAAACAGGAACCACGAAAGGAAGCCTTTTTGAGCATCACAGCATCACAGAACCTGCACAGGAAACAGAAAGCAATCTGGAACCAACAGGGAACAATTATGGGAAAAAGATGGGATGGAAAATGGTGCAAAAGAAGAGACTCCCTTACAGGCAGGGGAGGTCTCTGGAGGAAGAACCAAGGCTGAGCTCCATTGCTCTGACAGCACCCATTTGGGTGCAATGTTTTATTATTTGTAGACAATACATTAACCACTCACTGTTCAGAATTTCCATTCCAAACCCTGTCCACCTTAACAACAAGACAAATAATGGATAGCCAGTGGCCTATTAGGATGAAGCTGTCATTCTTGAGATGGGCACAACTTGACCTGTAGGATTTAAAAATACTTCCTACATTACAGAAGCCTCCCTGGATCTTAAGAAAGCAGCTCTGTTTATAATCGATAACTGAATGTCTCCACGTTGTTTCAACAGTGTGGTGAAGTGATCTCTCTGCTTGATCTGTCAACCTACCCACTATCTGGTGCAGCTTGCAGATCTAAATTGTGTTGATATTCAAGAATCATCTCCCTAATTTTAGTTATAAAATAAAACCTCAAAATTTGTACACCATTATAAAATACATATTTTGTTATAGTAAACTATATCAGTTAACTCGTCACTATGATTCACTACAAACACTACCCTAGTTTACTCTTTCTTCTAAACCAGGCCTACTGTGAATTTATAAATGGGCTGAGCAAAATTATAATTTACTATCCTTCATAAAGCCTTGTAGATTGCTATAAGCAGTTACAGTCAAGTTCCCTTATTCCTTTTTTGAATGAAAGGAAATAATATTATACAGCAATACAAATAGGTGGAGATTAAGATTTGTTGCATAATGCATGACATGTAAAGGTGTAACTATAGTAACATTCAAACAACCCTTGGAATTGTTACCTAATTCTCAAATCAACTCAACCTGAATTGCATTTAGTTAAATGACCCTGTTAGAGAAACCAAGATCATCTTTAAATTAGAACTGTTGATCAGAGGAAGGGAACTAGTCAGTTGCATTTCTGTATAACAGAATTTACTCTCACAGTTATCATGTGACCCCCCCCCCCCCAAAATGAAAGTTCACAATGTGTTCAGAAGTATGCTTAGGCTTGATTATTGAACTTTTCCATCTATGTCCAGTACTCTAACCAGCTTAAAACATCAGAAACGTTTTCTGAGCATAAACATTTCACTACAAAACAACTGTTTTTCAATTACATATTGGTATAAGTAAAGAGGTTTGTACATTTACAACTATCCAATTAGTCTTAAACTCCAACCACTTCTATATTTATATACAGATGCTAAATACGTTAGTTTAAAATGATTTTAGAACCAAAGCACCTTGTTACAGTCCATGTCACCAGGTCTGATCATGCAGCATTTAATAACCATGCATCATTTCAGTAGCTCTGCAATAGTTTCCATTGCAAAAGACTGTCATGTCGAAAGCATACTCCCTGTTTGGTTTCCATAATCCATCTAGTTTACGAGAATAATGATCTCCCAATGCTCGGTTGTACAGAACAATCATACAGAAATCCACAGGTGCTGCATCTGATGACTTGACCTGTATGTCTTCGTAGGTATATCATGAATACTCATTTCATTCTCCAGCTACTTGAGATATGTGACAGTTGAAATGTTATGTTGTGGAAGCAGACATTAAACCACTTAATAATGAAACTCCACAAAGATTAAAATACTTACCTTCACAGAGTTTTTTTGAACAGATGCTCCTCGACTAGTGCAAGCTGAAAGCACTCTAGATCCACGCAAGCCCCCTGCGCCACGCCCACGTCCTCGTATTGCCATCTTAGGAACCAAAGGCCCTTGGGTACTATATCATTGGAGGGAAAAAGTTTATCATTATATTCAAACTACATCTAACTCGTAACTGAAAAACTAAACACGATTAAAATGTATCAATTAGTTTATGATACTCTATATCTACTTATTAAACTTTTAGTTAAAAATAAAGACATTCATAATCACAGTGGTTTTTGAAGGATGAATTCACTTATTAATAGAGTAACATCCCACTAAAAAGAGAGCATACACTAGTTTTATTCAATGTGAATAAGATTGTTGCTTTCTTCTTTACTTTGATCTAATAGAAAAATTGCATATGGCTGCTGCTGCACAAAAGAAGGTAAGTGAATTAGTGTGTGGTCAATGGAAAAAGTTTAGGAACCACTGCTATAGTGTAGGTGAAGACCGTGTCGAAGTTCTTTTATAAGATACACAGATCATTCTCTATCAGTTTTTCAATTATTTAGTTCTTTACTTATTTTCCTGCTGACCTTCTAGGTCAATATACTATTTCATTTTATCACTTATAAATGTTTTGGGGAAAATAATGGGTCTCTGATGGACTGATGGTAAAATATTGAGGTTTCAAACAAAATTTGTGTAACAATCGAAATGTTTAAGCTCCCATTCGCTAAACTTTTCAACCGTCATTAATATAACATTTAATTTAATATTTTACCTAAAGTTACAATAGGAATTGCAAGTTCCAAACATTGATATATTTTCCCATAACCTTGTTCTGAAGTCACTAAAAACAACCCAGGAGTGAAGATTGTTTTTCATATGATGTATATTAATGTGATTTGTAATATTAAAGGTATAAACTCACCATTAAAGAGGCAGAATGTGACCTTCTACTCCCTTTTCTGAAGCTTTGAATTTATCTGGTTATTTTGTTTTAATTTCAAAGCCTTCAAAGGCTTGCTATGATCCAAAGTTCGATCGTCTGTATGATTAGTAAAAAAATGCAGATAATGTTATAAAAAGTCAGTTTCTTTTTAGACAGTTCTGTACTTCAAAGTCCAACGGAAGGTTTCACAAACTCGGTTCATAACAAATAACAAGTTTATGACTTATCATCAAATTTTCATCAAACATATAATGAATTATTGCCTTTGTTGCAACAACTAAGTTAAAAATGCTCGGGGATATCTGCTCACATGTTTTTATATCACCAAAATATTCGACTTAGATAGCATCTCTCTTCTCATTCTATACCCATAAATTTAAAATATTGTTCTTGATCAAATGGGTATTTTCCAAAAGCAGCAACACATACTACAGATTCTTAAATCAGTGAAAGTTTCGATATTTCACTTTCATTGATTTCAATACTTAATAACAGCAGAAAGTTGAAATTATTACGTATGCTCATTCACATCTGCATAAAAAATTTAATTTTAATTTGCATTTTTCCATATCCGATAATCATACGTGATCAACGAGCAAAACAAGCATTTTTCTAACGTTACGCTATAAATACTTAATATTTGGTGCGACGTTGTTTTGAATTTGACGTCCAAGTACAGCAACTGAGCCAACTGATCCGTTTCCTACATCTCTTTCCTATTGTCGTTTATACCGTTAAGCTTCTCGTTGAATTATTATCTGCTAAAACCTTACAGTTTTGTCTCTCGACTGCAATCGTTAGGCACACGTGGCAAATCATTTCCGAATGTTTATTATTTTATAACTATGAAATCAACACACACACACAGTGTTACTGCGTTTTCTAAACTCGTATTATTTAAAATCGTTTACTTGAAATACCTAATATTTATAATGCTCTATAAACATTTTCAATTATATTTATTCTTTCTTGGAACTAGAAATATTGAAGGATAATGGAAAAGAATTGTTACACATGGAGTCGTGTTTGTACTTTACGACCGTAGCTATTAACAACAATATCTGTTTTCTGTTTGTCGTGTGATTACCTACCAGTTTCATCTTGAAAACTAAATCAAAAACACTCCTATAAACCAATTAATATAGAATTTTTTAAATCAATAAAAAAATTAAAGTACGAATTCAAAAAATGAGTGTTTATCTGTAAACATTTGCAAAATTATCTCAATCATAATCAAAGAAACTTGTTTATTTATTTTTGCCGCTTTTACTTTTAACAGTACACTGCAGTTCTAACAAGTACAATAGTCAACTAGGTGATATATAATATTTGTACTTTACCGAAATACCCAAAGTGAATACGTACCACAGATGAAAATATCGATACAACACTAGTATATCCAAAGCCACTCGGTACTGTTTCTACATTGAATAACGTTTAGAAATAAAACTTAAAAAAGAAGATATTTCGACATTAGACTACTTTTAGAACTCAACGTATATTTTCTACGCTAATTTATGTGAACGTTATGTAGATGACAAAATGTTTATTAAATTTCCAAATAATAACTATAAATAATTATAAAAAATGATTTCACTTGAAAAGCCCACATCTTCTCTTTGTATTCAAGATGAAAAATTATAAAACCATTTTTTCTATATATACATTTTTTATCTTTTGAAAATAAAAGTGCATTATAATATCTCCAAGACGCCAAGCCTGGCGGTTAAGAGTGTTACACGCAATCTGCAGGTCTAGGGATCGAAACTCGTCATTGAAAATGTTCTCCCTTTATAATGTGATGGTCAATTTCTATTCGTTGGCAAAGAGTAACTCAAGAGTTAGTCGGCAGTGTATGATGTTGATTATCTGCCTTCCTTGTATTCTATTATTTGGAAATCAAGGACTGCTATGAGCTGATTTCCTCTTCTATCGTTTCGTTTAAAAATTCTAAATAAAAACTTTAATTTTGGCGTTGTGTTATCGCAACCTTTATTATGAGTTCCTTTACTTTTCAAGGCCAGGTAGATTATATTGTCAATTGAAATCAATTGCACTATTGTCAATTGTACTAAACCAGCACGCATATTCTACTCTTACCTAAACAGAACGGTTCAAACACAAGAATCTGCTGACACTGTGCTTCTTCTGGGTAACCAAGCAAAACAATTCTAACAAAGTTTGTTACTAACTATATATTTACACTACAAAAAAACAAATCGTTTCTGCCTTTTATAAGATACAGCATCAAAATATGAAATGCTACTTAACTTAAAAACTTTATACGCTAGATTCTTCCACGTATGCTATATTAATGTTTGTGTAATATCTAACTCACAAAGTACCGAGTATAGTAGAAAATTGACAGAATGTTCCAGATTTTGTTACACAAGTCTGCGAGCCATAACTGTGAGTAACACCTTTTATGGTACCAATAAATCCTGCCTGGATCGTTTTAGGGACGGTTACAACGATTGCCAAGTTTATGCTATTTTCGATAGTGCTGCAAAATATCTAATGTTATTGTTAACGCTCTAAATACTAAAAGTCAAAGATACCCTTATTATCAAGCAATAATGAAGAACTTTTGTCCCTCTTTTACTCTCCCCTTATAATTTGAAGGAGACTTTAATCCTGCCGTTTGTCTAACTTTATTCAAAGTAGGTTCAAATGATTCTGGTCTGCTTTTCACTTCCTTGGCCTTTTCATTTCCACGTCGAAAGACCTTTCAAACAAAATGAAAAATAACATGGTATTCTTGGGAAGAGGGGGAGGGGTAAGCAGGCACTAACAAATTACTTTACATTTAGATTAGATTTTATTTAATTGTCCCGCAAGCATCTAGTTTGAAGTAATTTGATTATTCACTTGTTGATGTCATTGACTTAATAAGGTGCCTATTCATGCTACATGTGTAGCAAAAAGTACGAAATGAAATATTTTCTTCTTCTGAGTATTGTGTTGGGTATCTCGCATTATTCAAGTAGGTTGGCCAACAGCCCGGTGTTTTGTCCAACGAAAGTATCTCTGGCTGCCTAGCGTTGTTACAATACAATTAGAAACGCAGATATCTAAAACAAGAACAACAACAAAACGCTCTGGAGTATATATTTTGAAACCTTTGTAAAAATTAATACTTATGAAAATAGGAAAGCATCCATTGATGCATTAATATCAAAATGAAAGAGACTTAAGCCACCAATTAAAACTTACCGTTATGTGTTCCTTACGTAAAAGTAATTCTTAAGTGAAAATGAATCTTATAGGAAAATAAAGCCAAATTCGATATCAGCTACATAAAACGCATAATAATGTGTGCTCTTGTGAAAAGTTTGTAGATTTCTACACAACTGAGGAAGTTATTCTTATTTTTCCTTTTACCTTGAGATGTTTTTTTTTTTACATTTTACCTTGTCGACGTTGTCCACTACGCTATCGCCAGTAATCCTTATGACATTTCTAAAATTGTACTGTTGTGCATGTTTGAAACTTAAAGTTTCTGATTTTTTACTTTTTCCACAGTTCCCAGAGGATGCTGAAAATCCCATTCCAAGCACTCCTTTGTTAAGTCTTGTGTGACTTGCTAACAACTTAAAATAAGACTATAGGTCCATAAGGGTCTGTCTATTGGTTACATTCTATCAATATCTTTTTGGATGATATAAAGGAAGCTTTATTAGTCTTATTTTGCATTAATTTCAATGATTTAAAAAGAGATATATAATATTTTTATCTCCGAAAATAATTAAACAGATAAATAATAAATACGCATACTATTAAACAAAGCGATTGAAGAAATACTATGGTATTTTGTTACAGCTCTTGATAGTCGTCTTAAACTATTTTACACAAATATATCCACCCACGTCAGAGTGCTTTCATTGACTTGTAATATCTTAAGATGTGAAAAAGCATAGGGCTGTGTTCGTTCAGTTGCTAGAAAAAGAGATACAATTTTCATTGTGGAGTAGGGTAACCAACTTTGATTTTGATCAAACATAGTTTTTATTTATTACAATACTATATGCATGTTGTTCTATGCACAATGGCTCTACATCCTCTTGGGTTTTCCGTAGGGTAATAATTTCACAAAGCTGCCCCCTTTTTCCTTTAAATAATCTGTGATAAGATTATTAGTAACTCCATTCTCACATGTAGGAGGTCACAATCCACTTTAGTACTAGCAGACAGAACCAGCCAACCCTTTGTGATTACAAGTAATTAAATATACACTACGATATAACATCATACAAGAATCTTCTCAACATTCTGGTTTAAAGCACAGATAACACTTCCATTTTGAAACTTTACCAAATCAGCTATAATTGAGCATTTATAAAGTCACCTAAAATTTTAAAACTATGCACGGCCTAACTGATGCAGTATTGATTAAATTTACTTCTAACAAATGATTTCACATTCTACACTATTTCAAAACTACTGATTGGGAAAAAAAATAACTTTATTAACCAAAAACGCGAATGCCATGACCTATAGAACAGTAGAGAAAACTGCGAATGATAATCGGTTATGTTGTATATGGATTACTCATGGACAGACCATTCGCAAATTTACTACCTTCAAAGGCAGACTCTTGAAAGCCCCATAGAGATTTAGCGATGAGTCTTAGAGCTTATAACGCTAAAGATCGGGTTTCGATACCTGCGGTGAACAAAGCACAGCTAGCTCATATATAGCTTGGAGTTTAACAACAAGCAAATAAATGAAAACAAAAACGCTGGAAAACAGAAAAGAAGAAACATTTACATGATTACATAACGCAAACTTATGCAAAACAAAATTAAGTATTGATATTTTCCCTTTTGATTAGAAACATTTTCAACGTTTCAATTGATTTACCTCACCGATGTGACTTTCAGCATAATTATTACTTTGACTTGTTCATCATAACATACACACCAGGTGCCGTCATTTGATTCAATAAAATATATGTATTTTCGTTTTGAAACGAATGGAAAATATTAGTACAAAACATGTTTTTAACAAAGATCTGGTCTGGCGGTAATTTCATGATAAGAAGGTGAGGCTGCGCAACGGGCTATCTGTTCCCACCACGGGTATCGAAAGCCGGTTTTTAGTGTTTAAGTCCACGGAGATACTGCTGAGCCAATGGGGGAGGGGCAACAACGTGACCCACAAACAATAGTTTGTGGCTTAAATTGCGCTCTATTAAATTCAGCTTATTGAAACTTTCGTGAAAAAAATCATTTCTTGTACACCAATAAATATTTAAGTCAATCATATGGTATAAATAGATGTTCAAGTTAATAGTTTAAAATTATTTTATTCGATTATAGCTGTGGTATCTTTCAAGCTGAAATTAACACGACTTCTCCTCCATTTTTATATAAAAATTAAAATAAATGTATATATTAGGCCGTTAAATAATATATGATATAAATCAAGTGAACTATGACATAAACAAATGTAATTAACTTCTTGCCCTGTGGTAGACATGGCTGTGGCCGTTGGAGGTGGGTATAAATTAGAAGGAACACTGTAGCCCAACGTTTCAAAAGGTTGTCCATAAACTACAGGGCCGTACGAAGTTGACTTGCTAACACTTTGAGTTTTCTGTTTGGAACGGTCAGCAGGTTTTGCCCAGGTAACCTCAATATTTGAGTCGTCTAGAACGGTACCTGGAAATATTATGTGAATTTCATAAATATATCAAACATACCACTAAAGATTATAAAATTTATGAACATAAAACCACAAAGTAAAAGCAGTAACACAAAACAATGTATATATTTTAACATCAGTAAGGGGGATTAAAACGTAAATTATTAAATTTAAGTTCAAATATTACTTATGAATTGGCCTATGTAAACTATTCTAAACACAAAAACTATTAGAACAATCTAATTCAATCCTAACCACTTTACTCTTTTATAATATAATTTAAAATGATAATTATCCACATCATCTTCAAGGACGTTCTGATAACTTATTTACTGCTAATATATAAAATGCTACTTCTAATAATATTTTCAAACGCAGGACATAATTTGTATAACTTATTAACACATATTGTGCGAAGCACAACTACTGGGGTCTGGAAGCATGCTCCCCCAGAAAATTTGTAAAAAATGGGTGCTATGACATTAAATCTGGAAGTTATATTGCATTAAATATAGATTATTGCATGGAATACAGCTTAAACATAGCAAGGCTGTCTGTACAAAATCCTCAAACATACAAAACGTTAAATACCATAAGCAGTTGCGCTATATCTATACAATCATAAATCTTTTACATCATAAAAATAGTGGATTCAGCCGATCCCCCCCCCCCCTTCCCCGTGTACGTGCGTGTTTGCGATCGAATGTTTCGAATTATTATAAGTACAAACAACTGTTACAGGATGCATTGGAAAGACCTCTGCTAAATTAACGCGACAGGTGTTGGCAAGTTCGAAGTAGGTTTGATGCCAGTACAGCTTGTCCTTGGTTTATACATTCAGTTTTCATACGCATCTAAAAATGGTTTTCTTTATTCATCTGAAGTTTTGGACAAAATAAGGTTTATCAACCTAACAACAGACTGTATTTTTTAATCTGAAAATACGTGTATTAAACCATACTCTAATCGCAAGCTTATGATGGGTGAACAAGAAAAAACATTATTTATAAGTGGCTAAAACAATAATCATACCATTCACGGCCATTAGTACTCTTTGAGCATCATCTCTGCTTCTGTAATGCACGAATGCGAAGTCTCTTAGTTTTTTTACTTTCTCCACTCGGACTAACCCGTTGAGCGAGAAAACTTCTTTAATACTGTCTTCTGTAGTGCTAAGCATTAGATTTCGCACATATAGCACTGTTACCTGTTAGAAGAGTAAGTGTTAATATGTGAACTACGAAATTCAAGTGAAAAAAAGTTTATAAAAATGTTAGATACAGCTCTGAAATTTTTTGTAACTAGATATAGATATTCTTCAAAATAATTGTGGATACAATGGACCATAAAAATAAACAAAACAACGATCAAACAGAAAAATATTTCCCTTGAAGTGTATTACCTATATAATTTATAGCTTATTTGAAAATTTTATGAATTCGAAAGTTAATATCTGAATTTCCAATTTTAATGTTATTGTAAGTTTCAAAATTGTCTACTCTGTCCGACAAGATATTCTACATCATCATTTAAAAGAAAATTCTGGTTTTCATTACACAAGAATCTTAAATAAAACAAAAATAATCCTAAGCTTAAATATATCTAGTAAGTATATGTTGACCAGGTTGCATGTATAAAAGATACAGTGTAGATGTTCTTAATTTCCATCAAGATCAGATGTATGATTAATCCTACATTCATATCTTGTCACTATGTTCCCAAGCCAGCATCTTTATTATTATTAGCTTGCATATAAGCAAAATTTTCTTCATGTATTGATTTATTACCCATATTACTTGTTTGACTGGCTACAAGCAAGATCCGCATACAAATAACACAAAAAAAGGCTAAATTTAATAGCCGGCGTTGGGTCATTGGTAAGTATAAGAACATACAATGTTGAAATCTGGGGTTAGATTTCACGCAGTAGAAAGAGCGCAGATAGCCCATTGTGTAGCTTTGTACTTAAAAACTAACAACAACCAATCAAACCTACTTATGGTATTGGCGTTTACCGCGTCGAATTCAAAGCATGATGCCGCGGATAGAGCACGTGAGCGGTGCAACTAAAAATAGTTAAAACAATGCTTGTATTGACAGTAATTCAGGACCCCGATTTATGTGCAAAAATAAATAAAAAACATTCACTATAAAACTGCTGATTATGTATAAAAGGAAACATTATGCAACCCCTATGCAGTATAATTACATCTTAAAACAATAAACTAGAAAATGTTACACAAAATTGGCATCAACAATAATTTCACACTTTTAATTGTCAAGCTACAAAAAACAAATAAGTTATAACTAAGCCAAAAGTTATAAATCTGGTAACAGTGACCTAGACTCAACTTTACCAAGTCTAGAAATTAAAACTTTGATCCTAAAGTCAACTACTGATTGCGCAATATATTACCCAAAAAATGCCATGACCGCGTAATTACGTTAAATTTAGGCCCTTAGTAACTGAATGTTACAATATAAACAAGCCACACTGTGTAACGGGATAGCATTTGTACGTTTGACTTTTTTCGAGTATGATAAGCCACCATGGTCGTAACGCGTTTATCCAACTCTAATGTAAATTTTGCATTGCATCGTGTGATTGGCTTGTTTATTTACGCGTTGGATCAATACGTTATGGCCCAAATGGCTTGTCACATACAGGCCTAATGTCTCTCAAAAATTAAATATGTTTCCTTTCTGTATATAATAGAACAGCCATTTATCACTGTGTGTTTCCACTTCCCAGAATTTTTTTTGATTTTTCAGGATTTATGGCTCTCGAATAGGATTTTTTAATACACATTACAGGACCCCGAGTTTCTACTGATTTTGATAATTTCCATTAAAATCTATACTTTTAAAAGTAAAACATTTGTTTGTTTGTCAGCGAACTACTCTGTGGTCTTTAACCCAACCCCAACTAAACTTGGTAGGAAGATAATTGGACCAATGGGCATGTCACAGGATGTTCATTACACGGTCATGCCCACAACAAAAATGTTAAATTAGCTAATAACTTCACAGTCTTTGGCCAATTTTTATTTCTAAAATGTTTTATTTTTAGTTTTAATTGATTTTTGTTTGAGATTTTCTTGGGAAATTTTGAGTTATTTCATTACAATTGTCAAACATTCATATTTTTGCTAAGATAAATGGCAACCAAAGCACAAGATCGGCCCCTTAAAGTGGCAGGGCTACATCTGAAAACCCAGTTTTATGTTATGTGTTCAATAATAGGAACACCAAGAAACTTCTATTTTGGCCCAGGAAGGAAGGAAGAACTTCTAATATGATCTATCAAGAATCACTCAGAGTGTCAACAAACACTGAGGCTGTAGAGAGGAATTAGCAAAAGCAACAAAGAAAAGTAGAACAATGTAAAGTAATTGTAACGCCATTTCTGTAACATGGAATAAAGTACTTGTAAAGTAAATTATGTGTGAAATACATTATGCATATAAAGGCAAGTTCTTGATTTAATTTATTAGTTTAAGCCCTACATTCAATCCTTATGCCCCGAAAGAAGGACGGGTGCCTCAGCTTGTAGTACAAAATAAATGCAACAAAAATACTTACAAATACTTTTAGTTTAAATTTTACTTAGAAACGAAACTTACACCTGTTGCAGGATTGTATATGTAGGGCTTCTGAATTTCGGTTTTAACCGATAAACACGGGTACAATACACACGATACAAAAAAAAATATAAAAAATTGAAACCGGTGTTTTTCCAATAAACACCGGAATTGGTTATTTAATCTACTGGACACACAAACCGTAGCTACTTTTATGACTACGTTGCCTTGGAATATTACCCTGAAGAAAAAGAAACACGTGGCACGTATGATTTTATAATTCCATATCAGGCAGGCGATAGCACTGCCTAAGTGAGGATGGCTCGGATTGTTCATAGAAATGTTATTTTAAATATCCCCTCGACAGGTCCTCAGAACTTTACAATACTATACAGTGTTTTCTTTTATAACAATATCTATGTAATGACTGTGTCACAAGTTCTAAGAATGTCTGTAAATATCATAACAAAAGGTTTGAATTTCTTCTTCTTCTTTTTTCTTACATGGTAACTCAAAAAACCAAAATAATGGTGTCAACCAATTTCACTGAGGTGACATAGTTTCAAACGGAGTATCCGGTTTTAAAAGTATTATTAATAACTGGTAGTAATAAAAAAGAAAAATCACAATTCTAGGGTAAACGATGTTATTATTATTAACCCTTGAAGTTAGCTTTCTTACAGAAATTTGGTGTTCATTTAAAAAACTTAAGTATAGAGTGAAGCAGGAATTATCAGCAATAATAGATACATATTACAGTTGGAACATCATTGTATTTAGAACTTGATTATAAATACGACCTTCCTATGACTATTGGAGCACTGCATTAAAAAACAAGCAAAAATGGGAATAAATGTAGGGATGGCTAATATTAATCCTTCAATAACAATGCAAATAAGATAGCAGATATGGCATTTGCATTGTTAGTGTTAACAGACAAAAAGATAAATTAAACCGAATTCTGACTGAATAGTTAT